GATGGATATACTAGCAGTATATGATCCCATAAATGGTCCTGCAGAGAAAAAAGGCCCTTTTCTTTTCTTACATCTTGAGAGCATTTGCTCTGTGGTGGAAAACAAGCTTGCTTTTGGGGTGGGGGGAGGGAGGAGGGAAATGTGGGGAAACAGAAAAACAAACCTATTTGCCTTTTGGAGGTTTTTTTCTGAACCTGATTTTTTTTTAAAGTAATCGTAGTGAGACAAAAAAAACCCCACTATACTGTATTGTGCCTGTATTGCATCTTAAAGATAGGTACATCTGGACTGCCTGTCCCCACAAACACCCCCTACTCGCCAGGGTCACTGCTGTTTTCCCCTCTCCCTTCCCCCTGGCTGGGAGGGGGACAAGCTTGCAAGTTCAGAGCCTGGGAAAGAAATTTCCCGAGCTGCTACTGAAACCCGGCCTGGAGTATAAACTACTGGAGCCGAAGCACGAGCTCCTGCCTGGCAGTGCCTGCATGCTGTGCTCGGGAGGAGCAGCTCAGTTTTAAAGGACCACAGCCTGCACCCCGCACCCACTGGCACTACGGTGCCCCAGAGTGCTTCATTCATCAGCCTTGCAGACGGGCTAGAACCAGCTGCCTGTCCCCCCCACCCCAACTCACCAGACAGCCACTGCAGAGCTGTGAGCCCCCGCTCCAAGCAGTCCGCTCTGAGGAGCATCCCATAATGGCTTGCTCAGAGTTACAAACAACCTCCATTCCCCAGGTGTCAGTAACTCTGAGCTTCTACTGTATTGAAGCTGCCTAAAATGACTCATTTTAATATTATATTTTTTTTAACCTACACACACACTGCACCATGCCTCCAACACTAAAAGCAAATAGCTAATCTTTTAAGGTCAATGGAGTTGTGTCTGATTACTCCAGCAGTGAATTTGTTCCCTGGTTTACAGTTCTGGGTAAGGATATAAGTTTGGTGGGATCATCTTTGTCCTATGTATGTGCATTAGCAAAAAATCCACCACACAGTTTGACAGAATTGCCCAGCAGATATCTGCCAGGTTATTAATGAGGTACATTTGTGTTGACACTTAGAAGAAAAAATAAAATTTTAAATTCATTGCTCAGGCACAGCTGACTCTGGACTCTGAAAGCCCTACATAGTTATATTCAAGACATTACATATAGTCCTTTTCTCACTACAGGAGTGACTGCAGACCTCTTACTAAGGCATGGCTTATCTGAATGGTGTCAATAAATGGAAGCAAAAGATGGTACCACAAACTCTGAAAATAACCACCACTAATTTAAAGTAGCTGGATGGGTACTTTGTGGATCTTATTCCTAGCCTAATACATACAGTTGTTTCCACCTTGACGTTTCTTTAATAGAAACAAGAACAAATAGAGCCTTGTTCATTTCACAATGTTGGAAGGGGGATGTTAAATTTTTATTATTGTTTATCATTGGGTTTGTTTGATAGGGAGCAAGTACATAATAATACAAGTATCAGGGTAAACTCTCCTGACAAAATATTGTATTTAACATTTAAAACGTAGAAGATTGGAAAATCTCTTAATTTTTTCCTAACTATAACTAACGCATCGGCCCTTCTCTTGGTCTTTGCAGTAAGCTGAGTAGGCTTAGTTAAGTGAGCAACTTTAGTCACAATTTAAGTACAGATACATAGCTTTGTGCTACTTATGTGCTGGAAACATTATCTGAAGTTAATTCAGGTTCTAAGTCAATAAAATAGTAGCAACATAAATAATGGTAATTTGAATGTAGATAGGGCTTGTCATTTTCATAGCCATTTGCAAACAATGCATCTTTCCTACCAACACCACTGTGATGTAGGTTAGGGTATTAGAACTGATTGGAAAATTAAAACAAATATAAAATTATTAGAAACCAGCAATGAAATTTCATGAAAACTTTCCTCCAAAACAATCCTAATTATTAGCTATGTATTACAGATGAGAAAATTAAGAAAGAAATGAAATGACTTGCCAAGTTCATAAGAGAAGTCACTGACATTACAAGGATTAGAAACTCGGAATTACTAACTCCTAGTACTTTGCTCAGGCATTAAACTATGCCTTTGTCTACTTTCATTAGCCTTTGTATGTGGTTTTTGTGAGTACACAAAAAGCATTGATGTTGAAACTTTTTATGCAGCAGTTCTTTTTATGACTTAAGAAAACATCAGATATAATGAAAGATATTGGGCCTAATTTTAAAAAGCATCCTAGGTGATGTTGCATCTGCAATTTTGTAGGTGCAAATTATTGTGGGGATATTTTATAGCAGTTAGATTTCTAAGTGCTTTATTGTGTCTGTAGATCAGGTAGAGTTAGCAGTGAATGTGCTGTGGAATGCTACCACAATAATTCACACGCAGAAAACTAGGGATAAAAGATCAGAGACTATCTTAAAAATCAGTGTGTCTGTCAAAAACAAAAATTTTAAATAGAAAATGTACTAGCAAATAAACTTGTTTAATTGGCTACTTGGAAAAGGCAAACTTTGGTATATATCTATCTAATTTGGATTCAAAACCAAACATTAAGAAAAAGATCTCATCTTCTATTTAAAAAGAGTATTTAATTAACTATTGATTTCTACTCAATTATTCAAGGCCGGGGGGGGGGGGAGGGGATAGCTCAGTGGTTTGAGCATTGGCCTGCTAAACCCAGGGTTGAGAGTTCAATCGGGGGGGCATTTAGGGATCTGGGGGGAAAAAAAAAAAACCTGTCAGGGACAGTACTTGGTCCTGCTAGTGAAGGCAGGGGACTGGACTCAATGACCTTCCAAAGTCCCTTCCAGCTCTATGAGATAGGTATATCTCCATATATGTATTTATTGATATTTCACCACCACTATTGCCCAAATCAAAGAAAATGTTACAGGCTTGTTACATTAGAATAAGCAAAGTCCACCAGCTTTATCTTTAAATAAGACAGTATTTTGTATTTGATCTTTGCTATTGCTATGATTAAGTTAATACTACATAAATTGTATGTATATATAAATATTTTTGGTCTTCATTATAACAGACAACCAAATATTCAATTTTACTTTGAATATGGAAAAATTTAGTTTACCATTCTGGATTTGGTACCATTGTATTCAGTATTATCCCAAACTGTAAATCTCATCAAATTTACTTTATTATTATTCCAGTTAGTTTATATTCATCATGTAAAAATAGCCAAATGTACTATACTAAAGAACACTGAAATGCAGACATATGGTCTTCCTTGTCATAATATCCTGAATATACTGCATTAGTTGAACTTTGATAATCAGTTGAGACACTTATTGAACAAAAACTGTGGATGCTTGTCAATGTTATATTAATTGGTCAAAAAGAAAGAATAATTGAGAAAGGTGTCAAGTGAGAAACTTGGGTAGATGTTGCCTTTTGGTTATTTTCATATTATTACATGCTAGGGAGGAAGCGCATCAACATTTGACTCATTTGTATGAACTGAATTAGAAAGTGGTTATGTGTGAGAAAGGATATTTAAGGATGAAAACAACTCATGGTGTTTGGGATGGTTGGACTTATTTGTTGTTGTTTTGGTTCAAGAGGATGGTGTTAAGATGGGGTAGATAAAACATAACTTGGTTTTTGACAAATCAAAGGCATTTTTAGAAACGCTTTGAGCCAGACATTCGTAAAGCTGATGTAAATCACCATACAGCCTTGGTAAAGCTATGTAGAGCTTTACCAAACAATAACATTTGAGAATCTGGGCCACCTGTTTGGATTTTAGCTTTCATGGTATTTATACACTTAAAAAAGTGAAGCATTTATAAATCTATGAATGTAAAGAACAATTAGCATATCTCACAGTGGAAAAACTGGGAATAATTTCTTTTTCTACTTTGCCTCCTTTAGGGTGTTCTCTGGATGTTCCATGCTTAAGCAATATATAATATTGTTCCAAATCCCGGAGGCCTTACACTAGATCCAATCATGTTTTCCTTTATTCAGGGCAAATTCCTAATGATTGCATGGGAATTCTGCCCAAATTAGGAGTGCAGGGTCAGTCCCTTTGTCCTCCTTAAAGTAAAACTAAAATAAACAAAGATCTGCTCTAGGAATTATTTGGAGGAAGTTCTATGGTCTGTATTATACAGGAGGTCCGACTTGGTGATCACAATGGTCCCTTCTGGCTTTTGAAGCTATGAAAATATTCCATTAAAATGGGAATATAATTTATAGCATATTCTACTCTATAATATAATCTAGAATGTATAGTGAGACAATAGCACGGTGTGCCTGTACACCCCCTTATAGGGGAATGTTTCAATCCAGTTTTGTTTAAATAATGGAAAGCAAAAGTCTAGTGACCCTTTCTCCAGTAGCTATCTTAGGTATTTCTAAATTGTGTCTCGCCCTGGTACCTAAGCACCAGACACAATTAAGAAGAAATAAGTAGGTTTTTAATGAAAATGGTGCCCATTCTCTCTGTTCTCACATTGACACGGTGTGTGAATTTAAACTAACGTCGTTTAATACCCATAGAGCATGCTGACTTTCCCATGCCATATCCCCTACTGCTTTTTGTTGATCTTCCAGAACATTAATACATAAAAGTCACTCCGTATCAGGGTCAGATTTATCATACAGTTCTATTCATTTCACCTCATTGTGTTGCATTTTTAATTGCCATTAATGTTTTTCAGGAGCTCTGTGATGCTAGCATACACAATGTCCTTTCAAATAAGGCACTCACCAAGCATTCCAGTTCAATAATAGTAAAGACACTGACAAACAGTAGATATTAAGTAACGTAGTATTCAGTTGTCTGAAATGGAAGCTCATATACTCTAAGATTAAAGCAAGAAAAATGTATGGGAAAATAGCTAAATGATCAAAAATTGTAAACTGCAATTGTTGGGAAACTGGAATCACATATCTATTTACATCTCTAAGGAGAAAAAAAATGTAAGTTCAAAGCTTTCTGTAACAAATGAACTTAAGCTTATTCTGCTCTTCTTCTATTTTTTCCCCTTGTCCTGTAGCAAATGTATGTGACAAAGAACTACTGCAATGCCAGAATGGAGGAACATGCCTCAAAAACATGCGATGCCAGTGCCCTCCAGCCTACACTGGCATTTTGTGTGAGAAGCTGAAGTGTGAAAGGGATCCAGGAGGTTGCAGCCAAAACTCCGGCAACATGGCAGTATCACATGGCCCTCTATTACCGCTGACTGCTCTACTAGGAGTAACTGGGCTTTTCATATTCTAGGCTCCGTCTGGTTGATGGCATCACATTCAGACTGCTTCAGAAGGAATGTGCCACAAAAAAAAAAAAAACCCAAGCATTTGCTACTAAAATTTTAAAAAAGAAAAAGAATAAAACCACGTATAAACTAAGAAGGCCCAACTGAACTAAGCCATATTAATCAATTGTGGACAGCACTCTGAGTCAAACGACTGTTAATTTCTGACTCAAGACAAGTTGGCAGCTGCCAAGTCTATTACTACAAACAACAATGCCAGCTGCAAAGAGTACACAGGATTGAAAAGGCTTTGACAAGCCCCCAAAATGGAAAATAAAAAACATTTGCCACTTTGATATGGTGCGCTACTGTACCTCTGCCCAGTGTGTGGACCAACCAAATAGAGGCATTCTTTGCTGTCAGTGCATTGTGGGTATAAGGAAATCTGTTAAAGCTGCCATATTGGCCTGCTTCAGTCCCTAAATCCCTTCCAACCTGTGCTTTAGTGAACGTTGCTCTGTAACCCTTGTTGGTTGAAAGGTTTCTTTGTCTGATGTTAGTGATGCACATGTGTAACAGCCCCCCTTAATAAAACTCAAGACAGTCATATCCTTGTATATTTTAGCAGCACTGCATCAGTAAGATGCTGTGTTCATCTACTGTACAAGAGTGGCTATAGGACAAAAAGTGTATTTATCCTTTTGTATTCAAATGAAGTTATTTTTCTTGAAATAATGTACAATGTAGATTTTTTGTATTATTGACAATTTGTGTTACCAGACAATTTATTAATGTATTTAATTCTAATCGGATAAGAAAAATTACTTTTTATTTAATCTTTTTTTTTCTTTTCTCCTTTCATTTAATTGTGCAGAGATTTCTCTGTATGGGCAACGTGCTGGCATCAAAGAATATCAGTTTACATATATAACAAGTGTAATAAGATTCCACCAAAGGACGTTCTAAATGTTTTCTTGTTGCTTTAACACTGGAAGATAAAAAAAAATAAAAATTCCTGCATAAACAAACAATTTCAGGAATTTGTATTGCAATTTCTTAAGACAATTTTTAAAAATTATTTTCCTTGATCCTTTTACTGTCTGCTATATGGATGAAATACAAATTCGGCGTCAGAATTTAGTTCACAATGAAGTCTGTTTTCTTCTCCATCAAACCACTCTGAATAAAAAGATACCTTTTGTTTGAGGAAAATGTTATAAAAACACTAAATCTGTATTCACCTTAATCATCGCCAGAATTATTCCAAGGGTAATTTACAAAAGTATTAAAGAATATTTTCTTTAAATCATGCAACTTTTGTGGATTGACAGTAATGAAGTCGATATAGCCCCTGCTTAAATGTGTCTCCTAAAGCTTCATTAAAATGAAATGTTTATCTATATAGAAATATTAGTCTGCCTCAGAAACTGCAAAAGCAGTGACAACCCCCTACACACAGAAAAAAAAGTGCAGTGATTCAACTTTTAATAAAGTCAGATTTAGTATTTAGAGGGAGTGTCAAAATATACAGCAGCAAGTAGATAAAAAGTGCTGTTCCAGCAAATAAAAGTTTGTTTTAAGTATTGCTCAAGGTGTAATAAATTCTTGTTTCTACCTTTTATTAGGCCAATTACTGAGTGTGACAGCAAGGGATAGAGAGAAAAGTACAAATAAACCAAAACCATGGCTATTGCAGAGACAAGGAAAATCAAAAGACAGCAACACTGTGTGGATTCATTTCCTAGCAGATTTTCATCATACATAATGTAAATATTTTACCAGTATGATAGCCTAGAATGGAAAACAATTAATCAGCACAGGCAAAAATCCTAACAGCAATAGATTCTACTTGGCTACTTACTCCCCTGTGGTGAACAGACTGTGAATTTGAAAATTACCTTCTTTGATAGCCTCTCCACCTCCAGTGGGGAAAAAGCCCATTGTTGGCAGATACCTTGTAGGAATATTACATGAGGAAACAGCATATCTTAACAGTTTTTGTTTCTAGAAAAACTCATCTGGAGATTGACAATACAGGTAAACAGGTAGTATTTGTTCAAGCTACCACCTCAGCCCCGCCTATGGAATGTTTGCTAATCACACCAGCAGTCTCTTTTAGTTTACAAAACAAGGGTGAGATAAATTAAAGGTTTGGCTGTGTGCCAGCATGGCCTACGTGAAATTGTAGATTTATATTAGACGCATACTCAAGACAATAAACAGAAAATGATATTGCAGAATCACTGCGGAATATAAATGCAAATATAGGTGACATACAGATCTGAAGATTACTTATAATTAAATGGATTTCTAATATTAAAATGTGGAATTTAAGTTGTCTTGAAGTTTATTAACCCAGACCAAATGCAGACCATGTAATTATTGGAAAAGATGCACTTTAACTGTCATTATACAGTCAAGGCTTTGTGAAAGTGCTCAGGAAGCATGTTGTGCATGTCTGATTATACTGAACTCTGCTAGACAATACTAAAGTATAATGAATATCAGATCTTAATCAGCTCATCTGCATTTCAATTTCATGAAGGTACAATCATCTAAAACTATGTGGAATACACAGCTTTCCATATATTTATATAGCATTTTCTGCATTTCACCACATAGGTCAGCCTGCTTTTAATAAAATGCCAATTTTAGGTACATATCCAATGGAAAGTGAATTTTCTTTTCAATCATCCTTTTCATCAAACCTCATTATTTTTGCCATTGTACACACTGTAAAGGAACTGCAGTATCTGAAGATTTTTGAGCGTGAATTCTGCTATAATATTCAGAGTATATGAATAATTATATAATGCACATACACACAATGAGATTTCCGCACTGCTCTGTATTGGTTTAACTCTGTTTCCATTGAAGTCAATGAGGAATTTAGGGAGGCAGAGTGTATTTCCCATATTGAAAATTGGTCAGAACAACAGACATCTTGCTGAAATTGCCATGGGATCTTTTAGTGACCACAAATAGTCATTGTGACAGAGATGGCAACTTCCTGCAATATCTGTGGGAGATCTTCCTCTATTAAGAAGTAGCATTGTGGGCCAGGGATTCTGTGTAATTCCATGGGGAAGGGGGCACCACAGCTCCTCCAGAAACTAACAACAGTGTGGTGGGGACTTTTGGGTAAAGAATCTGAGTTTAGACTGACTCAGGGCCTTCTTTCTGATCCAGCAACTGGACAATACCTTCTGTCCAAAGGATACCCCAATCCTTCCTGGGAAGGATGGGAAGGACATTGGCCTACTAAGGCCGCATAAGAATGATGGATGACATCAGATGAGCTTTTAGCATGCATATAGGAACTTTTATTATTTTTTATGTTTTCTCTGTAATGCTTTCACCATCAGAATAAATGTGCTTGCTTATAAAGGGCTGTGTGGTAACTCATAACTGTCAGCAATTACACTGTTGTAAGACTTTGCAGACAAAGCAAAGCACAAATGTTGGACTGTTTAGCCAGTCTGGGTTGGTGGGAATACCACAGTGCAGACAGGGAACTATTCAGCCTGGAAAATCCCTGGATGCAGGTCTCTACCCAGAAGAGGTGATGGCTAAGGAGCCTAGAGTTGGCACCCTCAAGGAACCATAAAGGGAAGAATATAGGTGCCACTGCCCTGAACTGTGACATATAGGGTGTCAGCATGTGTGGGATCTATGACTCGGTGAATTACCATAAGTCCCAACAGCAGTGAAAGCAAGTACCATGGAAGGGAAAAGCAAAAAGAAAAGTCTCAGTTTTTTAGGGAAAGGAAGAGAGAAAAGAGAGACAAAGAGAATGAATTATGAACAGTTGAAGACAGGTCAGATGCTTGATCTATGCAAAGAAAGGCAGCTCAGCAGTAAGGATCAGACAACAGTACTGCTCGTGAACTTGCAGTATGCTGATGACCAGGGGTGGGGAGGGGGGAGAATGATGGTTTGCAGGACACATCCAGCCCACCAGGGGAAATCTTGGAGCCGACTCCCGGGAAGAAGGCCAGAGAGAAGCTGACAGAGGCAGCAACCACATTCTGTCCAGCCCTAATGCATCACTGCCAGTGGTGGTCCAGGTGCCTGCAAACCAGGATGAAATGTGAAATTATGAAAAGTAATGACAGAAACACCATCCACAGAAATAAACCTGTCCAGGAAATAAGTCAATGGGTTTCCCTAGGATGTAGGTCAAACACAGTAGTTACATCCAGTTCATTAAGGGCAAGATGTGGCAATCTCCTGCAATATCTGTGGGAGAACTTATTGTATGAAGTTTATGTATCATTGTGGGTCAGGGATTCGACATAATTCCATGGTAGAAGGTGAACACAGCTCCTCCAGGAACTAAGAACAGTAGGGGGTGATTAGGCAAATGTATTTAGGTACACCTCCAGAGAAGTACCACCACCTACCTGGACAGGCTCACATATACTAGTTCAAACTGGATTCTCCAGAGACCAACAGACAAAAAGAACTTTTGAATAAAGAGCCTGAGTCTAAACTGACTCAGGGCCTTCTTTCTCATGCAGACAGGACCTTCTGTTGAAAGGGGGCCCCAATCCTTCCTTAACTTCTTGTTCTCTACCTTTCTTATCTTTATTTTGGAAACAAGCATTCCAGGTACTGGTCTGTGAAGGTACCTCCCTAAAATTTCCAGCTCTTATTTTGAATACTACAGTCTAAGTGTTGATGAGCCATAAAAGTACTCCTTAACTGTACGTGGTACAAAGTATTCATGCATCTTTGTTTTTACAAGTTTCTTATTTTCTAATTCCAAAGCTGACTTCAGTTTTGCAGAGTGTTGAGAGATACTTGACATGAGTGAACAGAATTGTGAGAAGAGAATACTACATTCAGTTAGATTAACTTCACAACACTGATGAATATAAAATTAATATCATGCATATTAACATGGTGTATACTACACCTAACATACACGCTGGCTAACTTCTGTAATGCTTTCACCTTAAAAATAAATGTGCTTGCTTATAAAGGGCTATGTGGTAACTCATAATTGCTGGCAATTATATTGTTCATAAGCATGGGAAGAGAAAGCAAAGCACGGATGCAGCCCTGTTTAGGCAGTTTGGCTTGCTGGGAACATCACAGTATAAGCATGGAACTGAGCAGCCTGGAAAAACACTGGTCAGGAGGGAGAGACACTGGTCTCAGTCCAAGACAGGTGATGGCTGAGGAGCCAAGAGCCTAGAGTTGGTGCCCTTAAGGGACCACGAAGGGGAAGTACAGGAGCAGTTGTCCGGAACTGTCATGACTGCTGATTTATATCTTATCTGAAAAAGCACACCTTCCAGTTTCCTGGCACAGGAACCTTGCCCTTCTTTTACTAAAAATTACACTTCTTTAGTGCTACATAAATTGTAATACTAATACCACCAGTGTTCCCTCTAATTTTTCCCACACATGTGCAGAAACTTTTTGTTATGTGCACCAATATTTAAAATTCATGAGGCAGGGGTGGGCCTGAGGGATTAGGCGTGTGGGAGGAGGGTCAGAGCTGAGGTAGAGAGGGTTGGGGTGCAGGAAGGGGTGAGGGCTCCGTCTGGGAGTGAGGAGTTTGGGGTGCAGACTGCCCCAGGGCTACGGTGGGGAGAGAGGACTCCATCCAGCTCTCTCCACCCACAGCAGCACCTGGTCTCGGGGGGAGAGGTGCCTCTCCCTGCTGCAGCAGCCCCGGGGCTGGGGCCACGGGATAGACACCTCTCCTCGGGCTGCATCTGGTCCAGGGGGGCTGGGCTAGGGTGCCTCTCCCCCATCTACAGCAGGTCTGGGAGGCTGGGGTGGCAGGGCCGTAGCAACAAAGAACGTGGCCCCCTCCGAACGGTGGCCCCCTCTGAACATATGTCCGGGCGGGGCCCCTTACAATGCAGAAACTGGAATGTGGTATTTATTTTGCCACTTTTAGGGGCCCCCTTCCTTGCGTGGCCCCCTCCGATCGGAGGGTACGGAGGGTGCTCGCTACGCCTCTGCGGGCTGGGGCCAGGGGAGGGTCACCACTCCCCAGGCCACGGCAGGTCCGTTT